TCTGGGCATCACCACCACTCGCTCCACATGGATACTCATGAGGAGGATGATCCCAGTAACATAAAACAAGCTGAAATTACATGAGGAGGGAAAATCAGAAGCAAAACAGGCACAATAAAGAGAGAGGGAAATCAGAAGCAAAGAATACAGAAGAAATTTATTGAAAGCACAAGTACAGACTGGCCAATAACTGCTTTCTACAATCTGAACAGTAAATAATGGAGCTACAGAAAGGTACAAAGGTTGTTATAAAATAGTTTTAATTTCATTTCTTTTTGCATTACAAACATTCTTTGAAAGAGGCAATGGAATTCTGATGGTGTGTACGCTTCCCCTCCCCACCCCACCTTCCACAATACTGAACCTGGAATCGCTGTTATCAAAATATACAATACATCTGTTTCACCATAAAAAAACCGGGTTTTGCTGCCCCCTCATGTCTTACAACAGGTATAAAAAAATTATAAATATGTACACCCTTTTGTTACTCACATTCTTTACATGCAAACACAGGGATCCAAAGGAAAGACCCACCAGCGCCTGGTCGCGGGTCACCTCCACTTGTCTGCGCTTGATTCCAGCCCATGGGGTGACCGAAGCAGTGGTCAAGGCCCCCTGGGGCAGGTCTCGTTCCAAGCAGCCTCTTCCCAGTGTCCTGGGGGAGGCTTCTCAAACACATTTCGAATCCAACCACAGCCCCACGGCTGCAGGGGAATGGGTTTGTCACCTGGGGAGGGAGAGGAGTGACAACCACCACCAGGCGCCTGGGTTTGCCCTCCTGAACATTGAGGTGCTGGCAAGGAGGCGCGGAGCTTCGGCAAGAGGCTTTGCCCAGGTTTAGGGGTAAGCAAACCCAGTGGCACTGGGGCAATGCTTCCAAGGAAGCTGGATTTCCAGCCGCAGCCAGAGGAGGATCACGACCCCATGCCAGCAGCCCAAGCTGAACCCTCACTCAGACCTCACGTGCTTCTCCAGTACAATTCACATCCTCGAGAGCTCAGGGAGGAACTACAGAAGGTTAAGACTTTTCCAAACACTCAGTGCCAGGCAAGTCAAGAGCTCCCACACTAAGCCAGGAAATCCTAACTTGCAACACACTAAGACAATTAAAAAACAAACTTTGGTCCACAATTTGCAGAAAAAACCCTGAAAAAAAGTACAAGATTCTTGTTATTTTGCATCCGAACAGGTTGCAGGTTAGAGGGAAATGTAAGGCAACATCGGATCACACTAAAGAGAAGGCAGAATGGCCCAGGAAAGAGTCATAAGCCAGGAAAAAACAAACAATACATGGTTTTTATTGGGGAAAAAAATAAACCAATCTGCTGCAATCTACTTTTAATAAATTCCCTTCCTATAACTTAAATCTGGGCTTAGAGGTTAAAAAGGTAAAACTTTCACCTGGGTCCTTTTCCTTTAATGCACAAGCTCTTTGTGCCTGTCACCTCCAATGCTTTGCTTTAGAAGTCTGCTTTTTGCTTCAGGTGTTTCAATGATCTCGGTACATTCCTCATCCTCAGTCATGACCTCAGCCTGAAACTAAAAATTCCTGCCCTACAGATTCAATTACCAACAGAAAAAAAAAGAGAAAGAAAAAGTACAGTATACAGGGTAATAGCACAAAGGAGTAAATTTAGAGTACGTTTATACCATCTTACCATTCTATAAAAAGGTACTTAAAACTATTTCTTTTGCATATAAAGAGATTAGAATATTTGGTCAACTGGAAATATTGCTATAGGCACAGATGACAGCAACAGCATCCAAAAGTATAATACAAGAATTAACACCCCCCCCCCAAAAAAAAAGCTCAAATGCTGAAGACATGCTATAAGAATGATGGCAGAGCTACATTGGTCTTGTTAATCTCAACTCAGGGGCACGAAGGTGACTCAGGGGAGCACCTTCCTAAACGTGGGATATCCCATAATTCTTCAAATCCTAGCCGAGTATTTAGAGATATATATTTACACACACGATTTTTGACAGACTCGTAATGATTCGTCTTCACAAGTGTCCAGCAGTGGTTAATTTTGTCTCTTGCTGGAGGCTCCCGCACAGGCAGAGCCTCCGGCGCTATCAGCAATGGAATGTCAGCTGGGTTTGGGAACATTTCCCCACCCTGGCCCCTTCTGCTCAGTCCCAATGTGACGGGCAAAGGAACTCCAAGAGCTCCCACTCGGCGGTCTGCACATGGTGATAAACCACGAGCAGAGTGGGAAGAGGCATGAGGCACACGATACTGTGCACACTGAGACATGTCACAACTGCCTGAAGAGTCAAAGCCCAGTATTTTCTTTATCCACTTTGCCACCTTCACCTCTCCACCACCACAAGCTGATCCCGTTAAGCCAGAGCTCACTCACTGCCCTCAACTCTCCCAAATCCACTCCCTGCAGTTCAGATGTTTTCCCCAAAGAAGGAACAGGTTTAAGGCACAGGACAGCAGATGCACAGTTAAGGTAGGATCAACACAACTTCTCTTTGTGCTGGGTGAGCTGGGAGCTCCTGGACACCACGGGTTTGCAAACTCCTGACTCAAAGGCGCTCAAGTGAATTCACACAGTGGGTTTAGGTCGTTCAAGGCATGGATGGGTAAAGAAAATAGAAAAAGGCATCAATGTGAAACCTGATCAACATGGTAGGATCTGCGTTTTGGGGGGGAGAAGAGAAGGAACAGGAAGGGAGAGGGGGAAACTTCCCAGAGCAGGTTCCAAAGTGTAAACTTGAACTTGTGATTTTTATTGGAACAGTCAGGATTGTTACCCATCACCGCAGGAGGAATTAAGATTTCACTTGGTTTGTTTTTAAAACCGGTAAACCGATTTCTCTTTAAAAAAATAAAAATCTCTGGTCTTTTAAGGTCACTTCAGCTGCATTTTTAAAGTGGCTTTTTTTTCTTTTTGTGGTTTTTTTTTTTTTCATGGAATGATGGAAGTTGAAACCCTCGTGTTCAGCCTTTGAAGACCTAAGGCTGAACCCAAGAGGTTTTAAGTCAAGTCCATTTTGTCTCATGCCTTCCAAAGCTTTAGATGGTGGACTTCGAGAAGGACACACGCAGGTGATGGTTCTCACCCAGGTCATGGTTATGGAGGTCAATGAGTGACTGAATGGCCTCTTCCACAGAGCCCATCTGGATCAGGGCCATCTTACGGTCCTTCCTGACAAGACAGAAGGTTAATCAGGATCAGCACCACCTTGCGCTGAGCTTCCCCAACCGTGATCTAACACTCGAGGCCAGCAGAAAATTAACTACCCAGGAAACTGCTGCATCCTTTCTTTTTACATGGAAGTGCCTCCCTCCATGACAAACATGCATATCCAAACAGCTCCCTTGGCTGCTCTGGTTTTCTTCAACTCATCCAGGGTTACTCCTGAATTCTTTGTTGCAGAGACTCAAATACTGCATCAGTGATGGTTCTGCTCACCTGAGCCTGAGTTGGAATACCATCAGAGCTAAGTACTTCTAACCCTTCTCATACTGAAAAGCCCAGGGTAAAGATAGGATACAAGACAAAACACTTACTGGAAGAATTTGAATCCTTTGACCACCCCACTGTTGCCTGAAAACAACATCTTAAGGTCTTCTTCAGTTACTGAAGGTCTGAAACAGAAGGTTTTCCAGTCAAATGTATGCTGACAGGCTCAGTTCATCTCTAAGCAACAAATTCTCATCAGAGCCTTTCCTAAATTCTCTACCAGCAGCTTCTTGAGCTGGCAAGGCTGAGAGAACAAGGGGAATATGGGCAAGCTCTCCTCCCGCTAGCCACATAAAGCTGCCCATATTCACTCTGACACTAAATTTGCAGCCCATTTTATACTCAGCTACACAGGAACTCTCCAGGAGGATACTTACGGAATGTTGGACAGATGAAGAGTGGCAGAAGGAGGAAAGATGTTCTGGAAATTTTTGGAGCCTGGTTTCTTGAAACGATGTAGAGGAGAATTGCCGTAGTCCTTTGTCAGGCCGTGGGTTTCCTGCCCCTCACGGGGGAGCTGGACTGTCTGGTGCTTGGACAGGGTGATACGGATGGGCTTCCCATAAAGCTTCTGCCCATTTAAATGGCTCATGGCTGCAACGGTTAATGACAGTGCTGACTGCAACGGGCTTCACTCCTCCTCTCACCTAAACCCTTTTCATTCTGGTTCTTCCCCCATGCAGACACCAACATCCCCCAGGAGCTGCAGGACAAACACTGGTACTCTGCTTTCCTGCTCTGCCTATTCCATTTTCCCTCTGGTTCTCTCACCCAAATCAAGCACATCTCTCCAGAGCTGCCCCGGTCTGCACTACGTACACAAGCAAGCACATGGACACATTCAGCTCTGGGGTCTTTGTTTTGGAGGAGAACAGACTGATATTAAAGCTTTAATTCCCCATTAGGTCTCTTAATGCCAACAGTCTGATACTGTCAAGCTTGCTTACCAAGCTGGGCCTGGTTTCCATCAGTCATCTGAACAAGGGCATTCTCTTTCTTCTTAAATAAAATCTTCACCCTCTGCACATCACCATAGACTCCTTCAAAAAGTGAGGAAAGAAGAAGAGTATTTAGGTAGGGAAAAAAACCCATGAAGTCTCATTTAACTTAATATTAGCTAATCAATCCAACAGCAAAAAAAACATTCATTCACAACCAGAACTGATCTCATTCCAACCATGGTTACTTATTCTGCTCTAGTTAAGGAAAATTCTTACATAGCAGAATAATAATGGAACAATACATTAAAGAAAAGACACTGGGTTTCAGCAAAAAGCGAAACTCTTACTGCCAGAAGACTGGACAATATAGCATGCTATCACCATTTAAAACTCTTCTAAAAGACATGCAAAGCAATAACCCATGCATAACTGAACATAAACCAAAAGGCAAACTAAATTAAATAGCAAACTAAGTAAAACAATGTAAAAACAAGAAAATATATATAAATGAAATTATGCATTCAAAACTAAAACAAAACAAAAAAAGCAAACTGCAAACTGTACATTTCTGAAGTATCAACAAAAAAAAAGTAAATCTCAACTAAATGAAAAATAAAAAAAACAAGGTAATAAAAAGTGTGAATAATAACATACCGAAAAGAATAAAGAGGCATTGGGGTGTAACTCTCTTTAGAGAACAGCAGAGCAAGGCAGCGGAGGGACAGGGAAGAGGTAAGGAATCGAAGGGGAGAGCGAGGTTGCACAAATCGTCCACAACGAGGAAGGGCAGAGTCCCCGCAGGAAATGGCGAAATTGGTTGATGGATGATGAAGTTTTCAAGATGGTTAATATTGAAGGGCAGGTTGGTTTCCGAAGAGCAGGGTTTATGGTTTTTGGTTTGGTTTGTGTTTGTTTGGTTTTTGGTTTGGTTTTTGGTTTTTGGTTTGTTTTTGGAAGGGGAATGTTTTTATTGGTTTGTTTCAAGCAACAACAGGAAGCAGAAGTACCGTGCAGTCAGTTGGCAAAGAAATTCCGGATCAGGGGAAGAAAAAAAATTCAGGGATGGGGAGAAAAGAAAAAAAGTAGCAAAAAACACAGGTCAGTAAATACATAAGGAAATATGTAGTGTTCCATCAGTCAGATTTATAGAATTCTACATACAATAACTCGTTTACAGAAACAGTTAATAGGTTTTACCTAGTGGAACACAATGATAAAGAAAAGGCATTTTTACTTAAGATATACAAAGATGTAAGAGACAGTATCGCAACAGAGTGACTTCTCCAGGCTTCGGTAGTCAATTCCACTGCAATGGGATTCCCTAAAATTTGACTGAAAAATATTTGCTCCAATTGCAAGAATTTCTTAGAAGAAATGACTTCACAGCTCAGGTCAAACACGGCTGGATTTGCTGCTTTAGGAAGTGCTCCATGCTGTGCAGTCCAGTTCACTGCCTTTACAGGAAGAGATGATCTGGATGAGCCAGTACCACTAACAAAAGGTCTGCTAAAAGCTCTTGCTCAAAAAGAACTTGGTACCTGGTTTGCAAAAGGTCTATTCCATTCTACCCCCAAGGCTTGAGCTCACCATGCGGAAACCCCGAACTGCTGCTATGCAGCTGGAAAGGCAGGAAAAACACCTCTGCTCCCAGCTCTTTGTATTCCAAGTCAAGACAGCATGAGCCGAGGCACACGGATTTCTTCCACTCACCGTGGAAAGGAAAAAGGGAGCAATTTCAGTTTCCACAGTTCCAGTTCAGGAAAAACCCACCTACGTTATGGCAGAGCAGTCACTCCAGAGAAATACTGTCTCTTAACTAACCGGTTGTGGCACAGGTAAGTTTCTACAACACTGATTATACAGGCAATGGAAAAAGTTTCATGTCTGTTAGTTCACAGCTTCAGTACAAGTATCAAAGTCTCTCTAGCCCAAAGATAAGCTGGATGGATAGTGAAGAGCTCACCAAAAACCACAAGGCATGAAATAACTGCTCGCTCCTACTTCAACAAGAACTGTGCGCACCGTTCAGACACTGCTCGGAGCTGAGAACACGTGCAAGTTAAACAGGTCCAGCACAGCCCTTGGGCTTGCCACTGCCACCCAGGCTACCAAATCCTCTCAAGAACCACACTCCTGACAGTGCTGGTTGAGAATACTGCCACCAGCTCTTTAACGTTTGGGACTTCTGTTTGACCAGCAAGTCACGGGAGCGAGGCAGCGGTGACACCTCCTGGGATGGCAGAGGAGTTCCTAGGTAGAAGAGCAACTCATCCAAACCAAAGCTGTATCCCAGTCCCTGCCATTATTTCATGCCCTGGAGAAAACAGTAATGACAGATAAAAAGAGCAGTCTGAAAATATTGAGTCAATTGGTTCATCTCATCACGAGTTAAACACTTTGATCATTCATCACATCCAGGCTTTCCCTTTGATGCAAAAGAGGTTTTGTGGTTACTCTGACATCACTGGTAAGTTTGAGAGCTTTGCAAAGTAGCATTAACTTGTGTGCACAGTCCCACCAGTTAAAGGGTTTTGCAGCAGAGACTCTACTGCACACTCTAGAAGATTCTACACTTTCAATCCAACCAAGAGCCAAAAGCTGACTGAAAAGTCCAAGACCCCCATATCAGATTCTCTTGTGCTGCTGTCTTTGGTGAAACATTTTTGTGCAAATATTTGCTTTATTTTAAAACAAATCAAAATATTTCAACTCACTAAGTTAAGTAGAATTGAAAATGTAAACTGTGAGCTGTTAAGGGGTTTAGCTAAGGAAAAACTTCCAGGAATCTTGGAAAGGGAAAATGTGCAAGCACATGGCAGAGGAAATAACTGCACAGGTACAAGGTCAAGCTGGCAGGGGTCCAGACACTACATAGAAAGAGCAAAGGTCAGAACAAAGTCTCTCTGTAGTTCTGAATTAATGTATTAAAAACTAGAACATGCCAAGGAAAAGAAAGCATGGACATGACTATTCTGTGACCCAAATGACACTACTCCATGGGAATGGCAGGGAGACTCCAAATAAAAGAGGGAGGAAGGGACAGGCATTGTAGTCTTTATGGGATGAGAGCAGTCAGGCAGCATCCTTGGCTTTGAACCAAAGAAGAGCAAGGTTTTAATTTGAGATGGACTTTCTCATTTCCCTTCAGCAACTAGAGTACTGATCTGCTTTGAGTTTGAGAGCTGGCACAGCCCATCAGCTGCTTTTCTAGTTTTGCCGTTTCCTTTAGGTTATGGCAGCATTTCACTTTCAATGACTTTCAGCACAATCTGTGTTCAGAAAGTGAAAGCAGAGGTAATAGAAGGAGAAAAAAGAAGAGTAAAGTTAGGACTCCACTAACCTCAGGATTCAGACTGCTAACCAGCAGCACACAGTTCCCTGCCCCACTGAGGCCGGGAATGGCAATCCGTCCTGCTGCAGCCGCTGCAGCTGCTGGGATAGCCAAAGGAGCTAGTGCTCCATGAACACCTGGAACTGTCAGGCCTGGAAATTAAAGAATATTAACCAGTAAAGAAATTAACAGCACGTACTCTAGTGTATTTGCTGCACCAGAAGGGAGAACAGCAGCTTCTGCAACATGCAAAGTCATCATTCAAACCACAGTGACCGTGGATGCTAGGAGCAAGAGAAGCCTCCGATTCTGGTGCTGCAGGAAATGTCATGGTTTGTAATGGGATTTGCTCTTGCACTGCCTGGTGCTTAATGGGTGCCTCAGCACTGTCTGGTTGACTACAATGTGCTGCGTGTCTCACAAGAAGCAGAATCAGCACAAAGCCTCAGCTCTGCTGGTGCAGGAAAGGTATCGCACACGGTGCATTTGGAAGGGTCTTTCCAACCAGCGCATGCCAACACACTTTGTTCTTTAACCATGCATCTAACAATAGGTACTGTAGGCTACCACCAGCTCATCTCTGCAGGAATGGAAAAGCATTAGTTTTATTTACAGACATTTCTAGGCTGCTCACAGTAACTGCTGGCACCTCACTGCATTAGCCCTCCAAAGGGCAGAGCTTTAGAGTTCAAGAAACAACCACTAGTAATCAATGAAATCACTCCTCCAAGTGGCACAGGATATTACCCCAACAGGGTATTAACAAAACATTAACAGTTCCACCCTTTGATCTGCACTTGTTTGTCATAAGCAAGGAAATTCCATCAAATTCCAAGGAAGTCAACAGTTTGGTATGTGATGAAAACCAAAGCAGACCCTGTTTAGTCTGGCAGCGCAGCAAGCGTGGTCAGCACCTAAACCCGAAGCCTTGAATTTCAGCCACTTGGCTACTTCTGCAAGTAGCAATAATTTGTTACCTGCAGGATGAGCTGCAAACTGCCCAGTGCAGCTCTAACAGTGCATGTCATGTGGGCCATGTTTAAACAGCAGCTTTACTCCAAATATTTAGGGGGAAACGGACAAGGATTCCTTGCTTTTGACCACACCTATGGCTGTCAATGTGAGCTCCCAACCTCTGCAACCACATGAGGAAATTCAAAACATTTCATCCCCTCTCCATCTCCCCCATTTATTTTTAACTATAGCTTTTATTGTCTCCCCCATCCTGCTCCCCATTTCCCTCTTTGTCCTGGGGTATTCCCTAGCCAGAGGTACTACATTTGCATTCTTAGATGAGGTTACGTATTGAAACACCATTTCACTCTATGCCCAAGTGCCAGCATTGAGAATTTACATCACTAAACCCCTCAAAATACGGCTACTTAGCTTTAAATCATCAAGATGCTTCAGCAACAGAAAATCTATATAAAATTTCAACTTACGAAATACAGTACCTGCAGCCTGAGGAATTGCAAAGGCAGGAGGAAAGCCAGTTCCTGCATATGGAGAAGGAGAGATTATTCCTGGGGCACCTGGGAAAGATATACACATTATACAAAACACCCAACAGCAAGAAAACCTCTAGACTTTGCTGGAATGTCTTGATCAGGCCTTCAACATATGCAGTTAGTTGAAAGCTAAACCCTAAACCAAGCAGGAATTCAAAAATTACTCTAATGGAACACTGAGCTTCAAGACATTACAAAAACAATTCCTCCTTCCTCTAACTCTGCTGTTCCCACATAGCTGTTAACCAGAATACAAGCTACCAGCTCCTGTAACTGCTTAACCACCCCAGTTTTCCAAGTGCAGGTGACACCACCCCAAGTCCATACTGTAGGCAAAGCAACAGATGGCACCAGAAGCCTAGGCAGCTGCAAAGCCTCAACCAGTCCTCTCCCAAATGGAGAAGAGCTCCCAAAGCAGCAGCACACACCCACAGCCATGTGCCTACTAGTAGTTTGCAGTACTCCGATTCAATGGTTTCTAAGTTTCCCTCCTTAGTCATATTCCACAATTCTGATAACCAAATAGTATCATAGAATGGTTTGGGTTGGAAAGGACCTTAAGATCATCCAGTTCCAACCCCCTGCCATGGGCAGGGATGCCTCAATCTAGACCGTGTTGCCCAAGGCTCTGTCCGACCTGGCCTTGAACACTGCCAGGGATGGAGCATTCACCACTTCTCTGGGCAACCTGATCCAGAGCCTCACCACCCTCATAGTAAAGAGCTTCTTCCTTATACCCAACCTGAAAATACACCCAGGTTACATCCCCTTCCCCTCCCCAAAAGACACATGCAACGGTTCTGCACCCGCTTCAAGAGTTCTCACCAAAAGCAGCTGCCATGGTCTGATCAAGAGGGGGTGGGTTGTCCCCAGAAGGTAGGTCTGGTCGTGTATAATCTCTGCTCTTATCATTATTGTATTTTACATTGAGACTCGTGAGCTTTGAGAAATCTATGCGCAGTGTGCAACAGGCATTGTAGATGTTCTGTCCATCTAAAGACTGCAAAGAAACAAAACCTTTCCTCACCCAAGGTGCATTTACACCGAGATCACACAGAAAGTGTTACGACAGCCCAGGTACCAGGGCTCTGGTGGGACATCTGCAGGTATCCCACTCTGTGTGGAGAAAGCACCACTTCATCCCCCTTCCCTGCAGTCTTCACCCCTGTTAAAGCTGCACCACTCCTGCTCATGGGCAGTGCTCACATAAACCTTGTGATCTGCCCCCCACCCCAGCACCCCAAAACCCTTCTAACATTGCTCCTACATTAATAAAAGCAAGCCTAAAAGTGAAAATAATTCAGGTGTTGACACTGTAAGCACACTACTCACCAGTTTGGCATGCTGAGCGCTCATGGGGTCAGCATATTGCAGCAGGGCCTGGAACTGGTGGTTCTTTGTGAACGTGATTATTTTCAAGACTGTACCAAACTTGGAGAAAATCTGTAAGAGAATATTTGCATCTCTTGTTAGCTCCTTTCCAACGAGTTCATTTCATACTGATCTCCACCAGTAGAAGCAGAAACAATAAAGTTATCCCTTCCCCTTGTTAGCTTTCCAACTTGGAAATGTAAGGTTTTAAACTACACTTGTATCATGGCATCAGAATAGAAAAATACCTGGGTGACCCAACTGTCTCCTTAAAATGTTTGTTATGAACTCTTGCATAGGAAGGTTCATATACACCTTCCCAAACTGAAGCTTTTCCAAGCATTTCAGAGCTGCTTCAATGCAGTTAAGCTTGCCTTTTAAACAGGCAGATGAAGTTAAGCAACTCCAGCAGGAACTTGCCAAATAAGCTACTGCCCAACGACTCCCAGGCACAGGACTGGTTTCCCCCTACCCTTGCAGACAGACATGAGGCAGCTACTTCTGCTCAACCCTAAGCAGAACTCGAAAAGCCATCTTGAAAACAGAACTGTTTGTCCCTTGCACTGTACCAGGCTGTAATCCAAGGGAAATGGACCAGCAATCAAATCTGTGGAAATTAAAGTCTGGCCAAAGTGGAAGCAAAACCAGAGGAATCTCATGTAGGTGTTGGGGTCTCCAGAAGACTTTGGACAGCTTGTATTATAGACAGAAACCCACATCCTGTTAGAACACAGACATGGCAAACCCAACCCCTTCCTCCAGGCCCACCTCCGAGAAGGTGTGGTGTGATGTTTTACCTGATGCAGAACATCTAGAGCGACAGGATAGAAGAGATTCTCCACAATGATCCTCAGGACAGGGCTCTGGCCAGCCACGGCCATTCCTGCATCCACGGTGGCGGCAGCAGCCGACAGCGGCAAGCTCCCCGGCTGCACCAAGTTCACTGCTTGCAGAGCCGCCTGAGCACGCTGCAGAACCAGACACTGTCAGACACACTTGTGCTTGCACAACACACACACACAAGCTTTGCTTGAGTCTCCTGTCTGCAAACTGCTAGAACTCAGCAGTGAGCACAACACAGAAAGCAGTTTATGGCTCCTGTGGCTGGGGAGGTAATGACTTTGGCACAGTTTAAACACACGCAGTGTGGACCATCCCCATCAGTAAAAGCAATGTCAAAATACTAACACAATAAAATAGGAGCTTATTGGCAGTAGCATAAGTACCATTTTAAGTACTTTCTAAGGCTAGAACCTTGCTCAGCATCTACTGATGCAGCAAAATTATTCCACTGTTTAGAAAAAGGGAAAACTAGGCTCTTCTGGGGTGAAACTCCCATCTCCAGAATGCTACAGAAGCAGACAGGACTGAGTAAGATTAGTGCCTGTCTGTATAGGGATGCAGGAGCAAGAACTGGCTGGGAATTTACTCCTTGTAGAGTCCCCCTTGCTCGTACAACACTGATGCTCTTGCTGTCCTGCACTGGGTGCTGGCTTTGTTTGATGCACCCAGTAGTAGCCTTTCATCTGCACACCATTAGATGCTCTGATCCTGATGAAACTCAGCCTGAAAAGTGAGAGGCAGCAAACTGGGTGTACTGGGCAGCCACCCCGATAAAGAGCCACAAGTAACTTGAACTTCTTTCCAGTGTTCCTGTCCTGAAAGGCTGCCAAAAGCAGCTGAGCCAAAACAGGGAACTTCTTACCCTGTGCAGAGCAGATCTTGCACATAAACTCCAGACAGCCCAGACAAAGGCTGAGGAACTGCTGCGTTCCTGTGCTGCCTGCCTCAACACCAGCGCTTCCCAGCAACAGGCTGCACTCGGCTGCACTCTCAAGTTTTGCCCCATCAGAGCTTCATTTCATATAAATCTTTCAAAAATTGAAATCCTGAAGATGTTAAGCAAGTCTTCAGCTACTGTTTCTACCTGAAGGATGCTAAGCCACCCTGTATCTCCTGTTCACTTTGCATCTTCTTCCCTGACATGAAGGAAGATTTAGCAGTTCATTTAACAGTCTGCCTGACACATTGCATACAACCTGTTATAGAAGACTTTGCTCTTTGATAGTTAAACCAAAGCTTAAAGCCCTCCCAGGCCTACACCAGCAGCACAACTCAAACCAGCAGCTGAGAAGCGTCTCTCCCTCCCACCAGTAGGACAACATAAAGAACAACAACTAACAGCTTGGTTTAGAGAGTTGTCTGTCTTCAGCTCCTTGTGGTTGGAGAACTGAATGTAGATGGGCTGGCTCCGGAGGACTGGAGTGACAGTGGTGTAGTAGTTCACCATGGTGTTGGCTGCCTCCTCCGTGTTCATTTCTATGAAAGCCTGTGCAGAAGTGAAACCCAACAGACACATGAGAGCAGCTCAGGAGTCAGCATTAACACTTGGCAATCATCACGTTATGGATGGCTTTAGGAGGAACTTCCAGTTGAACTACAACTGGATTTGATTTTCACAACTGCATTTCCATGCAGGTCTCTGTACACAGGATTAAGAACCAACTGTACGTAGATCAAGTGAGGATCTTCACTGTCCAGACTGATTTAATGTAATGTTTTAGTCTCATCCTAAGATCTCCATGCTATATACATATTTAGGAAAGTGGCAGTGGCAGAAGTGTCTGCAGGAACACAAGAATACAGCAATCATCCAGATTCTGAGCACTTGTCATTTAAGCAACTCCCCTTTACTTCTCTAAGGAGCAGTGAGCCCACCCACTGCTCTATAACTTTATAGTCTTCCTTACTTCAGAACAAAAGCCTAAGGGATTGTAGCAAGTCATTCCATTAAGTACTTACATATAATCACAGCAGGCGATATATCAGAGGCACATTTTCATAATTAATATTAAAGAGAGTATTTTAAGAGCTTATTAAAGCTGGCTTTGCCTTTTTTACTCCTTCATTTGCAAGACAATTTTAGTTACCAAATTAGTGTACACCTTTTGCATTACCCAAGAGTGGTTTAGCTTTACCCACCTGATTTATTGTACCTGTAAAGGTGTCCTTAATATGCAAAGTTACACTGGTGGTTACTCAACTGTCAAAGCAGCCTGAGTGAAAGAGGCCAGCTCATGTCACTGCTGTCCAAATAATTTACCTGCTCTGCAATTCAGAAACCAGGCACAACACTGATTATAGGAGACAACCTGTAATTATGGACTTAGCTCCTTCCACAGCCTGAAAATAGTATTTTCTACAGCTCATGGGATAATCATGGAAAAGCCAAATAATAGTATACACAAGTTATTGACTCCTAATACATGACAAGTTGTTTAAACAACTTGGGCCTGGTTTACGGATGACAAACTCATCAAGCCTTTGCCATAAGCCCCGCTTGCAATTCCAGAGACAATACCTGATTTTTGCCTTTCAACATGAGAAGATTGGTGACCTTGCCAAAAGGTAAGCCCAAGGAGATGACCTCTGCCTCCGTGACATCGCTGGGGAGCTTACGGACATGGATTACTCGGGACGGGACTCCAGCACTTCTATCACCTTTGAATTTTTTGATGTCATTTCCATTAGCTGGAAAAACAAAGAGTTACCCAAACCTCCAGAGCTTTTCACATTCAGTCTGTGCTCCCCATCCAGTTATTGCTCTCTTACAGAGAGATTCCATAGTCTAACTCCACTAGAATCTGAAGACACGTGGTTTTACTCCCCGCCTCCCCCCAAATGACACGTTGCAAGTGACGCTGCCGAATGCCACTGCAATGGATCAAGCCTCCAGTGGCCATTTCACAGCTTGTTTACAGCACACACACCCCTCTACTCTGTGTAGGGCTGAGCCTCTACAGGGCTGCTCTGATCCTTTTCACTTGCTCTGGCATCCTTGGCAGTGATGCTGGTTGGAGGGGACATCTTAAAGCAAGTGATATCTTAACAAATATGACCCAAAAAGTCCTTCTGGGTCAGCTGGATTGTCCACAGGGCAAAGGCTGCTGCAGCACGGCACCAGAGCTGGCACAGTGTGGCAGAGGGCACGGGCAGGACATGAAGGTAGCTCCAAGACAGACAAATTCAAGGCTCTGACAAGCACAGAGGGCAGGACTCTGGCCTGAGCACCCGAGGATACTATCATGGGTGGGATTCCTGACCCCTCCATAGTGTCAGACTCCCAAAGAGCAGCAAACTATTGCATACAGCCAGAATAACCCTATAAAAATTCAATTGTGCTTTAAGTTTAGAGCAAAACCCGCATGTTCCAATTCTGTAAAATCATTTTAGCAACTGGTCTGCCCCAATTTTCTTCACTCCACTAAAACTCATATGGGTATAGGGCAGAAGTTTATTACTGCTATTTAGCACTGTCCTACAAAGGCCTAGGAAATACTAAAACTAAAGAGATTTTAAACCCCAGACCTCCTCCTAGTATCTGCAATACTTATAAATTGCTATTCTATTTTAGAGGCAACATTACCTGCAGAAGAATTGTTGTTGTTCATGATAAAGGGTCCGTTAGTAACACAAGCAGGGAAAAGCTCGTCAGCTCCCCGCTGGAAAAGAAAAGAGGAAAGGTAAACTGAGAGCATTTCCACTGAGTTCTATTCAGGTCCTCCTAAAGCAGAACAATTGAGACTGAGCTGTAGAGAAGCTGAAGTGTAAGTGAAAACATACTGAGAGTGGGCAGTGAACCTCACCTCCATAAATTAAATATAAGTAAGATCCAATTTAGTAATTGAGTAGCACTATCCAGTATCTTTCTGCTAAGCATTAGGGATCTTCGGAGTTGAAGCATCACTGAATTGTCCAAAGCCACTAAATGCACTGAGCTACACCAGGAGGATGTGAATGCAACACAGCAGTCCCACAAGTGATGAAGAGCAAACCAAACGAGCCCCCTGGCATCCACTGAGGGCACAGGAGGGTTACCAGAAGCAAGGACATCTCCCACAAAAGACAAGTTTCCAGAAGCTGGCCCAAACTGTTAGTGTGTGACTTGGCCATTATGGACCAGTTTTAGTTTCCAGTTACCACCAAAAGATGCAACTATGAGAAACAGAGACCTGTCAGAAACGTCTCTCTTCCCTACCCCAAAATAGGGCAGAGCAGGAATGTAAAGTTACTGGCAAAAAGCTACTTTTCAGATTTCACAGCAGAAATAGATCCACATGTAACAATTTGGATTCTAGTACAGAACAGATTGTCACTGGCTTGGCATCTTGTAGCCACAATGCCCAGAACAGCAGCACCATCAAGTCTCCGCAAGCACATGTAGGTCCATTCAGGACCAGAGAAACCAAATGACCACAGGGACTAAACCTCCAGAATCCCATCCTGTGCTACCCTGCACCTCAGGCTTTGCTCCACATCACAGCATCAACGTGGCTACTGGCAAAACCAAGCCCCACGAGTAGCACAGCATGTGGATTCTGTGACTTTGTTCACTGCAGCACTGTGGAGAGAGAAAACATTTGACAAAGCAGTTCTAAACCAGACTGTTCCTACTAGAATTAGACAACCTGAACAGCCCCTAGTACTGCAGAGCTTTAGAAACACGTTTGCTCCAGGCTTTTTAGGAGCTATAGGTGTAATTCCATCTGCTCACACAAGTCACTCAGCCCAACTGCTTCCAAGCCACCCTACACTAGTCTAACACAAGTAGGAGCTACGAAAAACACTACTAAGCTACAAACTACTTCTTAGTACAATCTATGCTTATATACATAACACAGCTTAAGATCAGTATGACTTCATTACACAAAACTACCTCAAATCCCATTGTAAACTGTGAACAAACACAGTAATCTAGACATAACACAAAGAAACATTTTCTCACAATTCTCTACGTTATGCTTGCACAGAAATGCCACAGCCAAAGGCTTTCACCAGCAGAAAAGAGAACAGAGCTCATGCCTGCCTTGCTTAGCTCCCCCCCAGCTTGATGGAAACGTGCCCTGCTTCACCCTGTGGCTACCAGACACTCCATCACCCACCATGCCCTAGATGTGGCAGCACCTGCAGAAACACTATCTGTGTGACAAGAGCAGCTCCCCGCTCCCCTCCCAGCACACAGGCAGGAGAAGTAGGTCACACAGAGCCCCAGCTCACTGCAGAGCAGACACAGCGCTCGGGCTTTCAAACCCTGTGTTTCTTGTTTGACTACTCACTGCTGGCTCTTCAAAGACAGGCTCAAAGACTTTGATGTCTTGAATCCAAGGAATTAGGGCCACGTTCCAACCCGTGGTTCGTGTGCTGCTGCTGACCAGCACTGACCAGGTTCCACCAAGGCTGTGGGCACCAGCAAGGTCATTCCCTCCTGACATGGTGCAGGAATTGGGAATAGGCCTTTTTAACAGCTCTTCTAATTAGCACTTGGATTCCCCAAGCTAGTCTGGGAGGTTATTCCCTGTGATCCCAGCCTTTTGATGACTCAAATTCATGCATAAATCCACAGGTAAAGAAAAAAATCCACCACTTTACTTTAAAAACACTCTTGTGCCTGAGCTCCTGCAGCCACTATGGGCACAGCTTTTACTCTGGGGTCTGGGATCCAACTGGCAGCTATTTACAAGCACCAGCCAGCAGCAGACAAAAGCCCTCCCAATGCAGACAAGTGTTTACTGGCCTCACGAAACCCTTCACATGAGGCCTTAATGGGCCCTGAACTGAAGAAAAAGGGTTCTTGAATAGCAGCTTGTACATTTGTGAGCACAGAGAACTCCAGCACTCCCAGTAGGACTTGATGCGTCTGTGCAAGCATGCTGGGGCAGCCCCTGCAATCCATCAGGCAACATCAGGAGAACAAGCCACATATTTGGCTCCCATGGAAGCAACACCAGGAAACTATAAACTGGGAAAACAAACATTTATACTATTATGGAAAGAATTTCAATTCCCTGAATTTCACTTTCCTAATGGCTCGTTCAATACCAACATTTTCTCACATATTGCAATCTTTACCTGCAGGGCACTTGGACAAGGAATGCTCCTGGCTGCTGGGTTCCACATGTCCATGTTTCTTTAATGAAAGAGCCACTTCGATCCACTCCCCTCTTATCTTGGAGACAGTCTCCCCTGCCTCCTGCACCCAGAGCCAGGAGGCAGAGGGGGACAATTGTTCCACATCAAAAGCAGCAGCAGGCAATTTGTAAGCTTCCCAGCTGGAAGTACAAGCAAGTGAAGAGGGAAGGCTGCAGCAGTTGGAAAACTACTATTAATTCCAAGCACTCTCCTCTACACAAGGAAGTTCACAGGCAGTACATGCAGAGCTCCGTACAGTTATACCCAAATTCTTCCACACAGGCTTCCTTTGAAAGAATGGCTTTTCTAGGGCAATCTAGAGAAAATTTCTAGTGAGGACCCGAAGCCAGCCTGGTTCTTTGAAAAGCCTTAGAGGCGTTTTCCCACCACCACCATATCTACTGGGTATCCTGACTGATATTGGGAAAGCCAAGCCAAAAGTGATTGATTCTCAGGTATTGTTTTATTCAGGTTCAAAACCACACAAACCCAGCAAATAAATGGCTATGCGAGTGCTCAGCAGCTCCCCAGCACCCACCCACCCCTCCACCTCCTTCCATTGTGACTACCATGGGGAGGCCCAACCGTGCAGCAACAGCTCTTCAGATCCTCACGTTCCCACCCCTGCTCACAAGAGGCACTGATTTCTGTTGACATTTGTTGAGCCAACTCTTTTGCAGCTGGTAGCAGCAGCAACAGTGTGCTCACAGCCACACCAGCCTTCACCTGAAGGAACAAAGATCCCCTTCCTGCTCATAGGAAACAACCCCCACTCTGCAGTTCCACTGCAGCTCCTCCCCAGGCTGCTCCCACCACAGAATCACCAGGTAGAACCTGGCCTGGGAGTGTTTCTATGACAGCAGCCTCCTTTGTCTGCAACACTCCTGGCTACAAAAGCTCCACTGCTCAAGCTGCGTTCATTTACTCCAACACCCCTGGCTCCAGGTAGTTTTGCCATCAAGGCTTTAGTTCCCTTTTTGGAGTTAAAGGCAAGGTAATTTCAAGTATTTCCTCTTTTTCTGAGTTATCTTTTGATGAACTTCGATCTTTTTGCTTTAGTTTTAACAGAAAAGCTCTAAGAGCTTTTTGGCCAGGCTTTCCCAGCTTAAAAAGCAACTCTCAGCTTTCATGTGAAGACTACAAATTGTCTCGTTGCCGCTAGGATTTTACCTGAACCTTGCCACAGTTTGGAGTAAAGCCACAGATTATCACAACTTCTGCCAGCACACCTATGTCTGCTACAGCTGCCCCCTAAAATCCTTGATCCTGGGAAGGAAGAGGGCAAGAGCCAAGCCCAGGGGCTGCAGGAAACTCCTGGCTCACGAGGAACCTCCCAGAGAGCAGCAGCATTCCCTGCCCTGGCTGCAGAGCTGCTCTAGTGATAGCAGGATCACTCCTTCTGGTGCAGAACAAGGGAGATGTAGGAGATGGTACAGGCCATCACTTAAGAAGACACTTCCAAGCAGCAAAGCACCTTGAAAATTCCCCTCTAGAAAGAAACCAGGAAAAATTTGGACTGTTGGAAGTCCTTTGTTTGCTTAAGCTCAGCTAAAATCCCTGCCACAAGTCTCACGACAGAGCACACCAGCATCCTTCTTCCACTTCATCTGCACCAAGTTTGTGAGAAGATTTTGAAGCCAGTAAAAGGCCACTAAAATATTTTGCACACAATGACACAGGGATCATGAAGAAGCTCATACAAACCCTTTGCTTTGATGAAAGAAGCAAAAACCATCGTGTCTTTGAGCTCAGAGAGAATGAGCGCTGCTGAGGTATGCTTCGAGGGCTCCTATGAGCTCAGCCCCAGAGGAATGTGCTCCATACTGCAGTGCTCAGCTCCAGTCCCTTTGCAAAGGAACTAAGGAGAGAAATCCAGGCTGGTGACATCATTCACACTCAGATTTTCTTGCCGAGAGATTTAAGAGCTAGCAATGAAACTAGGCTTAAATCACTCAGAAGGATGCCAGCTTTCTTTGTCTTCCCCACAAGACTGGCTTCCAGCAAGGCTCCCTCACATTACTCCCTGCCCCATCTCCTGCTGCCAACACTCAAGTCATGTAAAGGTAGAGAGCAGTATGAAGAACATTCCCATTTGGAGCACAAACCACACACCAACTGCATCCTCCTTCAGTCCCAGCAAAGCTGGAAATGTCTGATCAACACAAGGGAGCTTCAAGACCCTGTAGGCAGCAGGGCTTGGAGGGGGCTGCTGGGCCAAATGAGACACTGCAGGATGCTGCCATCCATCTTCAGTGTCACTTAACCTCTGCTGCCACACAGCTTACACAATCTGATCTGAATCTAGAGTTTGGGGGGGGGTTGAAATACCAATTTCATTCACAAAATAGCTTGTGGCTGATTTTTATGTACCAATTCAACTAGAGCAACCCCTGTAGCATTTGTCAGATTGATTCCAACCCCATAGCTGGCATATTCCATCCCTGGAGTCAATCTGCAGTGCTACCCACCACCACCCCCCCCCCCCGCATCTTTGAAACCAGGTCAGTTGGTCAGAGCACTGCAAAGAATTCAGTGCTCAGGAAAAGTTTCCTACCAGATGTACTGCCACAATAGCTGGTACCATTTCTAGTGTACACACATGGGGTTGTGAGTGCCTAAAAAGCACTGGAAGCTCAGGCACTACATGAAAGCAACTGCTCACACAGCCCAGCCTGAGGTTGTGCAATAAGGTGCATTCCCAGCTCCTCAACCCACTCACCCCAGCAGCCCCTCCCTGACTTTCTTTCTGTCTTTGCTACTATGGAGACACCCTGTGAAACAAACCTGCCCTTTGAGCAAACAAAAGGTGTGGCCATTTCAAAGAGCCCCAAATTCCTGAGCTCCAAGAGCTGCAGCAATGCAGTCACGCTGGCTTTGCAGGGCAGCCCACACCCAGGCTTTATGAGGTTCTGTTCCCAAGCTGTAACTTAACTGCTCCTCAACCTTGAGCTTTTACATCCTGCAGGGGAGCAGACAGGCCCATGGTGAAGCACAGGACAAACACTATCACAAAGAAATGCCACTGGGTGAGTCATGCTGGGGAAAATGGAACCTGTGAAAGAACATTTTGTGCCCAACCCTGGAGCAGGGTAAGCTGATCACACAGGTTTAGAAGAAACTAATTCAACCTTGTCTCAATTGCAGTTGTGTAATAACAGCATCTGCTTTGGCAACCACGGAGCCACCATTGCACTGGCATTACCACCACACACTTGCTGAGCTAAGCACAGTATTCACCGAGTTCTCATATGAAGCTATACTAGAATCACACAGGATTGGGACTGAAATCATGCTTACTCTCCTTGCTGGTGTGAGGTGGCAGCAAATGTGGCACTGGCACTACTTGAAGCCAGTGGCAGTGACTCAGGGCCCAGACTCTATCCCATGCTTGTGGGATTAGAGGTAAAGTTGAATAAATACACGTGTGTTAAGCATTTTGCTGTTTGTTTGAATCATCACAGACTGAGGGCAAAGGAGGCCCAAGGTTAAAACAAAATATTTGCTACAACCATTTTATTAACTGACTGTTTTCTATAAAGTCTAACACAGTTTTCTTTTCACCTACAAGGAATCCCAGCTCCTTTCCTTCCCAAGTGCAAGGAACTTGAGGTGGCTCCCACATGAAAACCTGGGCTACCCGTGATGGAGAAACTGCTTTGCAGAGCTCAAAGAGCTGATAAGCCTGTGGGAGTGGTCTTACCTCACCCAGCAGCTTCAGCTCCTGGTAATGCAGCTCCCATCACAGGAATCGGTACCTGTATATTACAGGTGCACCACACCCTGTGCAACAGGAACACAGATCACATCGAGCTCTTTACCAAACCTGGCTGACACAGCACTGCCGAAGGACACCACCGTCCATGTACCCCGCTACCAACATGTGGCTTACACGTGTGATCATGCCTGTTAGAGCAGCCACAAGAGCCAGCTTGTTGCAGCCTCGAAGCAAAGCCATAGGAGGGGACTGGAATTTCCTCACAACATTCTTGGCCTGCTGCCTGAAGCCATAATTACTGTTCCCATGGCAAAGATCCTGGCTTGATCACAAATCACTTCTATGCAGCCAGCCCGTACCACACTCCAGCAAGCTCTGCTTTAAAAATTAACTTCTCAATTGCCACCAAAGTGGTTGCTCTTTGTTTCTGGAAGCATCAGCTTTCAAAAAACTCAACCAAGAAACTACAAAATTACTCTGAGACTTTTCCAATCACTGAAATACAGTTTCACTTAATAATGATGTAGCACAGCTCATGCTCTTTCTAGTAGCCAGTGCTGTTTGGAGACCGTTAGAGCCTGAGGAGATAGTGGTATCCAGGCAAAATAGAGATATGGAAAGGAGATCCAGAACCATCTTGATCAAATTACTGAGAAGAGGCAACTGCTAAGTCAGACCCAGTACCCTGGAGTTCAAATACAGTGCCTCCATCTTAAGGTCATACTTCCTCTTCAGTCAGCAATGACATTATGGGAAGAAACAAGTCCTAACTCATGTGTTTCTAATGTGCAGAACATTCCAGAAGGCTGTGCAAGAGCCCCACACCAGAATTGTAATGAGCTTCCTAAACTAATCCACACACTTGAAACTGAGGAGGAGCCTGTGGACTAGGCTAAACCTGAAGCCCAGGAACAGCTAGTGCAATGAGCATCCTGGGTCAGAACCAGAGCACCAGGCAGGGCAGTGGTGAGCAGCAAGCCTAAGAACATCTGGGCACTTCTTAAGGTAAGGTTTGCTCAGCATCACAGGTGCTTTTCCTACCTAAGAATTCTCCACCTTTGGGACATTCCTTTATGAAGGCAGCAGATGACAAAACTACAGCTCCAGAGCATTATTTTAAGTTCTCAAGCAGTTCTAAAGAACATCTGCTCCTGAAGGTGGGGCAGCGGTTAATCCTTGAAGCGATTTTAGCCCCAGGGATCAAACAAATGTTGGTGGATGGACGGAGCTCCTCACTGGAGTTGTTTCAGCAAAGACAAGCCAAAAGGCTTCTGTGGCATCATGGAAACCTCCTTCTGCAGTGCCTTCAAACTACTTCTTGGCAAACCAAAGCTTCCCATTGTTGAAGGGGAAGCACCACAAAAGCAACAACAACGTTTTGGGAGCTGTAGCCAGTGAGGTTTTACACTTACCACAGAGGTAACTAGTTTTAAGTGACTGACACACAGCTTTTGCAAAGAGATGCCTGTACCTCTCTGTGCAGGAGCCCTGCAGGCAGAGGATCTCCAGTGGTACAGAGAAGCAGGAGTGTGGGGAAGCTGCAAGAGAAGCCTTCCCTTTGCTCCTATGGCTGTGCACAAGAAGGGTTCTGACTTAACTGAGCAAATCTATGACACGTGTAACACATTACACCAGAGCCTTAAAGGATGTTCTGCTGCAAGAGCTACACTGGTTTATTCAAAGACTTATTCCAACATCATCAGGTAACATGGCAATGCCAAAAATGGTTTTAAAACTTACCTCTATCCCAGTGATTCAACTTGCCTTTTGCTTCTGCCACTCTAACTTTTGATTCCACCTTCTCAAAACTCACCTTGTCTGACTGCACAAAAACCTCAGTTTTGATGCCCACTTTTGTCCCACCACTGCCCGCCCCACGGCACAACTGCCATGACTGTGGTTACAGCTCTGGCTCTGTGAAGAGCAGAAGCTCTTGGATGGGATTGCTCCCAGGCCTCAGTTTAGCCACTGTATGCACCAGAGACTGAAATCACCCCACAGATAGGAGTGACGAGCTGTGCAATCCCACATCGGAAGCTCGAAGATTCACCAAGAGGACAATTACAGCTTTAGAAGCTTCCTGGTCAAGTTTAGTTGTGTAAAGCCACTTCTTAAAGCTGCAGAAACCTAAAACTACAAATTACACAGTTAAAAGCAACTGAGTGGACTCTTACCTCAATTAATCAGTTTACTAGATGTATCAAACTGCTCTACAGGTCAAGGGATGACTTACTTCACCTTTTACAATAGCTCTTAAGTATTAACCAACCTCATTGCCCAGGCTCAAGCCTTCCCTCCTCCTTCTCTGATGTCAAACTGAGCTCCTCTCAGCAGAATCACACACTATCATGGCACAACAATTAACTCCAATTTCAGATTCTCATACAAGGAAAAGTTAGAATAACCTCCCCCTACAGCTATTAAACCAAGCCCCTTCATGCATTTGATGCTCCTCAAACCCTGAAGCACTAAACCATACTAATGCTCAACAGCAGTCACATGGAATTTTGCACTTCCAGCACAGAAACCTATTTGCTGCTTAGGAGCAAGTTCTCTCTAATGCTCCTTCTTCACTCACATAGACCTAACAGCGCTCAGACTACCCAAGCTCAGCTCTCCTTCAGTCACTTCACCAGCCTATTCCAAGTTGCCACACTTCTCAGTTCATAATGGGGATGCTAACAACACACAAGTCTGGCCATTAAAGAAGCCAAGGGCCAACATTCACACGTACTATCTAACAAAAGGAACTCAAGGGCTGAACTTACTGTAATCCTGATCCCAGAGCATTAGCTCCAATGGACAGGAAGAAACAAGAAGCCCCTTTAATGCAGGAGGGAGTGACAGTCTATCCCACACATTCCAGCTGACCATTTTACAGGCCCCAGCTTTTATCCCGGAACACAACAGCCTGTTACCAGGCACTGCAGATAAGGAGGCTCCTGTCAGCACTTTGAGTTTCAGGGCTAAGTCTGCACTTTCAAAACCTGAGACTAGAAGGGTGAAGGTCGTATTTACTGTACTCGCAAGAGATAAAACCAACAGCTAAACAGTATTGGGGGAGGCAGAAGGATTTTTGACATACAACTGAACAGGAATTCACATAAACAAAGGAAATGGAGTTCTCAAAAGGCCCAATTTCTCCATTGAGAAGCAAGGTCTAGCACACAAATAACGAGCATGGCTTGACATTTAGAAGGGGAAAAGGCTGTTTCTAAATGCAATAAAGTTCTTTTCTGACAGTTGATAATCAATGTCCAAATGCCAAGAGCTAAATGCTGAGCCATAATAAAAGTTTTAAATGCACATGAAACTAAATTACCCTCTGGTTGCGACCAATTTACATGGTAGCAGAAATAACCCTTTAGAGCTGAAGATCTAAATTTGGTGAGGCTAAAACAAGGGTAGATGCTGAGCAGTGTAAAAAGAGAGAAAAAGTGAGAAGTGCCTACCTTTGTACCAACTGTTAAATCTTGCACAATGCTGTAGAAAAAAGAAAGAAAAGGATTAAAAAAGTTAGATAGGTTTGCCACAAATATCCAGCATAGTTTACAGCAGTAAGAAAAAAAGCAAGTCAAAAGTGCACAGTTGTCTTTGCAAGTGAGCCAAGGACAGTTTATACAAAGGGAAATTATTAGATGGTGATGGTGGAGACCCAAGACCCAGCAGTGCTAGAAACCCACAGCTCTTCCCCTCCCTAGCATGGGGTTTGCTCCTTGAGCAAGGGCTCACAGGGGCTAAGAGCAAACCCTGTAGGTACCTCACTTCCAACACCACCTCCGACCAAGCAAGAGTCAACTCCATCCCCACTATTCACTTCTACAGTTCTTAACCCCCTGATTTGCAAAGGAGAAACCTCTGCTGGGCTCTAAGGAGGCTCTGGAGCAAAATTCTTGCCTTGGTAGCGAGGCTAAAGGGGCACACAGGAGATGTAGGCAGCTCCCAGGCTGGGGTTTGCCTGTTCACAACATTCCTCTATCAATTCCTTTCTACTTGGGAAAACAAATAGTATTGCCCCTAACACAAATCTCAAGGGAAAAAGCAAAACCCGAACACTTAAACTCTACCAGAAGCGCTTAAACCTCCTACAATGAGACTTCCTGATTAACTAACAGGACAAACAGCATAGTTGTACCTGAGCTGCACCTCAGGCACCTCACACCAGCTCTTGGCAGCAGCAAATGTTCTCTCCCACCATACACATGGACAAGAGCAGCTTCTTTCACACTGGCATCAGAATGCCTTGTCTACAGCTTGGTGTGTGGGTAATCTCCCAGCACCTACACGTTACTCCTCGTTACAGGAGTGCTCCAGGATTCCAGTTTTACCCTTGCACTGAAGATCATATATATACATTTTTAACAAACTCCAAGCCACTGCAAAGCAGCAACGCAAAACAGAGCGGAAACGACCATTTTAGACCGATACACGCAGCACTGCCTGGTTCAGTGCAGTAACTGCACTGTAAGTGCAGAAACTGCCTGTTTCAACTCGTCTTCCCCAGAGCTGACCGTAACTTCAGAGTACAGGATCCAGGAGCAGTTAACAGACCCGTAGCAACTCTAAGGGAACACAGCAGAGCAGTAGCAGGCAGGGCAGCCCTTCCTAAACCAGCAAGGTGAAATCTGAAGTACTCCAGAACAAGCCTACAAAGGGATTCGAGGCAGAGAGAACTTGCATTTCCTACTCCTTCCTGCCCTGCTCTCCTGCAACAACTTCTCAGGGCTTTAAGTACTGCTCTATGCTGAGTCACTGCCACTTCCCCAGCTCCACAAACACGCCGTCACACCAGCCCAGGCCAGCTCAGCTCCTCGGACTTCCTCCTCCAACCCAACCTGCCATGTCATCATAACCCAGCGCTCCAGAGCCGGAGCTGTGGCCACGAAGCCACGCGAGAGCTTCTTTCCCCTTCCCCCCCTGCCAAAGCCAACTCCTTCAAGACGGCTCCGTGTGAGGAGAGCGCCGGGATCCACAGAGCACAGATGGGGTTTGGAGCAGCAAGGAACTAATCAAACCCATCTGCACAGAGCACTTTAAAGCTTCATGTTATACCACGAGAATGGCTCCGAGTACATGTTTCTTCAGTTAAAACACACACTTTCACCCAGTGAGTTTCATAGCCTTATAAAAGAACGAGTATTTCCAGCACAGCAGAATAGGAACCGGGAATCTGCCGAGTTTCCAAAGCTCTCCAACTTACCCCCAAGCAGTTTCTCTCACTTCCTGTTCCTCCTGTGGGCCTCTCACACAGGAAATGTTTTACATAAAAGCAGTCTTAACAGGGGACAGTATTTCAAATTCTCCAGCAGGAAGAGCTGGTTGATTTGCCAAGAATTATCAATTCCTGGAATATTGTGGAAACCCGTTTGATAACAAACAACCGCATGAAACAAGCAGCAACTGTATCGAAGAAGTTCTACTCCAGAAACGTGCAACGTACTTCCCGTTTACAGCCCCCCCCAATAAAGTATTATATCTTAAGCTTCATTCTCTTGGTCCTTTATCAACCTCAAGCAGGGGATTAAAGCTTTTCTCAGTTCCAAAAGAATTGGCAACAAAGCCTTTACTTAAACTAGGTATTTTTGCACGGAATGGAATAATTCCTACACGATGAGGGGAAAAAATCCAGCAGCACCAAGAAAACCTCGAGGTCATTTTCCAAAGCGGCATTTTTTCCTACATTAGCTCTTCTCATATGTTTTACCAAAGCAGCTTACTCAGCCGGGCTCATTTTAAAAGCACAGGATTGGTTTGAGGACAAGGAGACGGAAGCAGCCGGTGGACAGGGAGGGAGGCAAAGAACTAAAACCACCTTCAGAAACAGCTTTTGGAGGTTCAAGAGGCTCCACAGGAGAATCCAATCACACACCAAGATCCTCAAAAGATAAGGGGGTGATTAAAGCTCAGGTAACACTAAAAAGTCTCCATTCAGACACCAACTGCTTTAACACACACAGTAAATCAGCCTTCCTCGGAACTACGGTGAAGCCAGCTGGTAACTAACTGGTTTTGCCATTAGAACGCCTGATCTCACATGCTGGAGCTTTATTTCTGATATCCCACGCGGCGAGCAACGTGTTAAAAGCAGCAGAGCAACCCCTGGAGTGTAAAATCTGCAAGAGACACGGCTTTTATGGGCTTTTGGATGGAAACACCACCGAGACGCCACTTTTTCAGTGCGTAAGAAAAAAACCCCAGACATGTGACTGCGCCTAATTCTCACCACACCAGTGTTTGGAGGCAAAAAGCGAGGAGGCACTAATTTGGGCTTCCTGTACTTAAGGTCTGGGAAAACAAACCGCTTATTCGGGGTGTGGGGGTGTTGGGGTGTGTGTGTTTAGTAACATTTTAACTACAAGAATCAGCTCACTAAAACTAAATATACCACGCAAAGCAAGAGGAAGATGGAGCCCTCGTTCGGGACGGAGTTGCCACCAGTTTACGTGCGAAACAGCCGGCGAGGTGGTGGTGAAAGGGTTAAAAGAGCCGCGCTCTATTAGCGGGGTAGGAGCGCAAAGGTTGGCTCTCCCGGCGCGGGGGCAGCGGGAGCGCAGGTCCGGGCTCGCCCCGCGCTGCCAGGTATG